CTCGGCGGGAGCGCAGCCGCGCTTCCCAAGCGGCGCACTACAGCAGTGCGCCACCGGGCCAGCCCTGCACAAGGTTTTTAAAAACTATTTTAAATTAAGCTTTAAAAAAAGGAGACCTTTGTTGAGGGAAAAGAAACAAAAAGTAGATAAAGAGTACTAGCTTGTGTTGTTGTCTGTTTAGACTTATGATGAACTGAACTATGTTCTAAAATGGTATTCCTCCATAAATTGCTGCACACTCATCTTGTATGTGGGCACGTGTACAATAACTCTACGTAGCTAAAATAATGCAGTTCCTACAGTGAAAGAATTCACAACCTTTGAAGTCATGGTAAGGGGGCACTAGTGATTCTTACGGAAGCAGAGGGCACCCCTGCATGCACATGTTGAAGCCCTGCTTGCTTGGGGCATTTGCTCTCAGGAAGCCTGGTGGTGAGTGAGGGATGGACCCACAGTGCAGACACCATTAGCTCAGGGACTTTCTAGGGAGGTGGGGGAAGACGGGCCTTCACTGGACCAACAGTCCCTCCCAGGAGTCTTCATATTTCCCCTTGTAACTGCCACAGTGAAGCACATAGGTGCTTCTTAACCTTTTCTGCATTTACAGTCTGCAGAATTCAGGAATTTAGAAATTTCATTAGAAACTGCCTTGCAGAGATTTCCACTATGGCCCTGAAACACTTTTCTGCTGGATTGTTACCCCTTCAAGGGCACGGACAGTGTCTTTTTTTGCAAAACATGCTTTTATATAAACTTATACTGAGCCAATTTTCAATTAACCACGTGTGGATTATTTTCCAACAGGGGGGTCAAAATACCCTATAGGCTAAAAACAGGGGTTGTATGGCTCTGAGCGAGGAACAATTATTATACTTTTAAATGCAATAATAATAATAGTAACTTTTGGTGAGAACAGCTACTTGGTTTTGCCTCATGAACCACAAAACCTAAAATATTTACTCTCTGGCCCTTTACAGAAAAAGTGTGTCGACCTCTGGCCTGAAGCATCCCTGCCAGCTCCTGTGTGTGCCCTTACATGTGGGAATCTCCAAATCTCTTCATATTGTATTATTTTTAGTTGTGTTGTAATTATTGAGTAACTTCCATACGTTATCTGATGCCAATCCACCATCCTGTGCTCAGCACATAGCATTTGGTGCTCAAATCGTTCTTGTTACAGAAAGGAATTTTCCAGCCCATTCTCAGTCCACATGGGTGCCTGTCTGCAGTGCCTGTCTCCATGATTTTGCCTTTCTCCCTGTTTCTTTCTCTCTACCAATTTCCTGTGCTTCTCTTATCACATGTGCCACCTTCCCTCGCTCCACCTTTCTCTGAAATACAGAACTGCCATTGATGCATACTTAAAATTACATTTTTTATGCTCACTTTAGTTCCTGTTCAAACAAATT